AGGGACCCATGCTGGAGCAGTTTGTGGAGAACTGTCTCCTGTGGGAGGGACCCCAGGGAAGGAGTGTGAGGAGTCCACCCTCTGAGGAGGAAAGAGCGGCAGAGCCAGAGCGTGATGAACTGACCCACTGACCGCAGCCCCCATTCCCTGTCCCCCTGTGCCACCTTGGGGGAGGAGGTAGAGAAATCGGGAGTGAAGTTGAACCCAGGAAAAAGGGAGGGATGGGGGGGAAGGTGTTTTAAAATGTAGGTTTTATTTTCTCATTATCCTCCTCTGATTTGATTGGCAATAAATTAAACTAATTTCCCCAGGTCAAGTCTGCTTTGCCCGTGACAGTAATTGGTGAGTGATCTCACCCTGCCCTTATCTCAACCCACAAGCTTTCTGTTGTATTTTCCCTCCCCTGTCCAGCCGAGGAGGGGAGTGACAGAGCAGCTTTGGTGGGCACCTGGAGTCCAGCCAGGGTCAACCCACCACAGACGCCTGACCTTGCAGACAAGGTAAATTAAAAAGATTAAAAGGTAAACTAAGAGGTTATATGGCTATCTAAGTTAAAAAGAGCTGGTTGCAACAGCTCTTTGAAAAAGTCTGCTGCAAGAAATATTGAAGTTAAGAATGGAAATGTTTCCTCTCTGCCTCTTCTAGGTTTGTAGGACAAGGCAGGATTCTGACCTGCACCGCACATGCAGAACTGACTCACGGCTCCTGTCAGACATTTAAAGCCCTTTAAACACCGCTACCATCATTCCCAGAGCCCTGTGAACAGGACAGGCAGACAAGACAGTCTTGAAAAAATATCCAGGTGAGGTTTTGTTCTGCAAGTTGGAAATATTTCTTCTCTCCTTTTGGTACTGACTTTCAAATCAGAGTAATATTTTTTTTTTCTTTTTTAGTCAGAAAAAGAGCAAACAGGAGTTCACAAATGGAAAACACTTGAACCCTCCCTTTCCTGAGGCAAAAGCTTAATGGCAAAAATACTGGTACAGCCTGACTAAAGCTTTGGCTAATCTCCTCATACTATGATAGTAACTGGCTTAGTACCGTTCATTCAGGTAAACAGAAGTTGCAGAAACAAACACTAGCCAAAACTTTACTAAATTTGTTTACCTTTAATAAGAATAAATCTAGGAACAGGTTATACCATGCCTCAAAGAAAAAATAAATAAATCACACTCTTGTGATACGTCCTGTTGTGTAGGTGACAGAGTGCTGCAGGTTTCAGTGAGAAGGGATCAGTAATGAAGATGTGACTCATACTCAAATTGTGAAACTCTTCTGGCCAGAACCTCCTTCCTCCCCAGTACTTAATACTTCAACTTAATTTTCAATTCCTATTACTGGGGCACTGCCAGCATCATGATATTAATAACTCCATCCACAATAATTTAAGCTCCACGCCATGCATATTGACATACTGGTAGCAGCATTGCTGGAAACATACAGTATTGTGGTCTGCCAATGTCAGTAAGCCCAGAAAAGTGATACTATATTCCTAAGTAATATATTTCCATTCCAACTTCAAACTTTTACTTGGATTCTGAGTATCAAGAGAGTCTTACATTGATAAATAATTTATATTTTAATAAAGAATAGCAGCTAATTCTATGGGAATATTTTTTCTGAGGAAGAACTTGCTGTGATTTTTGAGGTATTGCTGTACAAAGCAGAATGATTCAATATGCTGAAAAATAAAGTACAAGCACTGTCTGCCGACAGCAAACACTGCGTTGCGTAAGTCACCTCAGAAATTAATATACAATTAATCCAGCTGCCCTTTACCCCAGAGTACACTGTTTTACCTCCTACATAATGCTTTGCTCATACAAGAAGGCACTAGACCTCCAAACTAATATTAGACAATTCTTCCTCATTCTTCTCACCTGGAATGGGAGGGTATGTGGAAATTTCTGCAAGGGAATAGTGATCGAATGTCCCACAGTGACTCTGTCAGCCTTCTACAAGCCTTCTACGTGGCCTTCTGTATTCAGTTGCACCCCTAGTAAGCTAGAAAACTCAGCATGTCTCTCTCACTGAAAAGCAAACAGCCTCTTCTCCCTCCCCTGACATACAGAGGTAAGAATTTCCCAAATTTAATTGGTTTTGGTTATTAACAACCTGAATCGCTGATGGTTATTACTTCGTCTGTGTGTTAAACAGTAAAATGCCAAAATAGCTGATCATTTAGCTTACACTGGGATAACTGGCAAGCCTCAAGCAGTAATTACAGAGCACACATATAAGACTGCCATAGTAGTTGCAATAAATGCAAGTTGTTTGCAAAGCAAAATGCACGATGCTCTAAAATTGAGCATTCCTAAGAGATTTATATCAAAATACAAAAACTGTTCCATATCAAAACTGTTCCATATAATTTCTCAGCATGTTTAATTGCTTGTCAATATCCCTTGGTGGGAACTCAAGATGACACCTATCAAAATTCCTTTTCAGGAAGCTTTGGACTGGGGTCCAAGAACAAAAAATGTGCACAATTAAAGTTTTAATTTATTGTTCAAAATTAAGTAACTTTTTGTTTAGAAACACAGTTCTAGACTATTAAATGCTTTACTCCCAATATGAAAACGCTGAAATTGAATGCTTAATGCAATTTGAGCTTTGAACTCTTGATTTCAAATTTCCTTCTCTAATGTCAAGCAAGTTTCTATACCCTTCTTAGTACAACTACATAACACATTATTGTTGGCCTTTTTTTTCCCCCCCCCCCCCACTGAAACAACCTGGGAAAAAGGTTGAAAAGCCTGGAGAAGTATCTTTGAAATAGAATTTAACTAAATCAAGAAGATTTTAAATAAAGAATAATTATTTTAAACATGTATTATTGACATTAAAAGAACTTGTCCAAGAGAAAATGAAAAATCATACACGAAATGCAGAAGTGGCTACAAATACCTTAGCCATCAGCACAAGTTAGAGACTTTGTTTTGCAAGACACCATGTATCTCATTAAATTGCTGTGCTTCCTGAAACAAATACCCTTTTAGTTTTTAAGGCCTTCATTTTCATGCTGTACAGCATGAAGAGGCCACTTCATTAAAATGAAGCATTACTGGAGAAGTCATAAAACCAGATGTAGCAATTGATAAATAAACATAAGCCCTGATGAACCATTTCAGCTACTAAGTTCTAAATACAAACCTGGTATGTGGAAACCGGAGAAGCAATATATGGCGTAATAGATGTCTGAGTGATCATTCTGTTTGCTGTAATACTGTAGGGTGACGGATAAAATCTAGAAAATGCAGAAGTATTTATTAAATGCCAGTTCTGTGCATCTTTCATAACACAAACTTTGTTTTTCCTTAGTATGCCATTATTTAACATACCCATTTTGTAAAGCAGCTGTGGTTGGATCATACGTGAGTGTCATTCCAGCCTTTAAAAAAAAAAAAAAAAAAAGTGGAAAGAAAGAGTTGACAAAATTTATTTTGTCTGTGAATTATTGTAAATTATTTCTCTCCTTCTTTAATTGTGTTATTTTTAACTGAAAATTTGTATTGAAATACTTTAATTTACAGAAGTAATTATATAGTGAAGAGAGCCAGTGATATTGGCTATGAATACAAGTTTCCAAGTTCCCAGCATGAGGAACAAAATGCAATCCAAGAAATACCCGTCTAAGAAAACATGTGCGTGTTTGAGAGGCAGGGCGCAAAGACAATTATGTTAGGGTGTTGCCTACAATATATTAACTATAAGAATGAATGGGGAGTGCAGTTCTTCAGAAGACACACTTGAGTTTTCTTGTCTCATAGAAATGAGGCGTCCAGGCTTGCTAACCACAGTAAGCCTATGGAAGTATTATCTTGAACGTTAAAGATTAAAAAAGCTGTGACTAAGAAAAAATTAATGCTGCACTGCATTGGGATACTATTTTAATCTTACGGAAGTGATGTGCATTTCAGTGCTGCATAAATCAAAGGCTTATTTACTACATGTAAATAGTTATGTTTCAGGTAGATTTATAAAATTAGAAGTATCTCAGAAATATCCTGAGCAAGTTGAAGGAGATTTTATTGTTCACTTTAATGAAGTAGGATTTAGTGTTTCACATTTTGCCTTTCTTCCTCTTAAGATAGATACAGTTTAGTATTTTATAGAGTTGCAAACTGTCAGGTAAGAGTTGCCTGCACATTTTTAATGTCAAAGAGCCAAGCCAACAAGTCTCAATGCCTATCATTTTCATTAAGTATTCATTATTGTACACCCACACTAAAGCTTGAAGGGAGGACTTACAAGTCTCACCTCGCCTTCTCTGTGCCATGCTCTTCCATTCTGTATATATTTATTCTGATTCTGTCTCTTTTTCTGTCCTCCATCAGCAAACTTGCACAATAAAGGTTCTGCAGGAACTGAGAAGAAAGAAGGAATATTAGTGGAAGTAGCAATCGTACACAGGTGTTCAGCGCTCCAAATAAGGTATGGTTTTTAAGTTATATTCCCAATATGACAAGTTAAATAACACGGACTCATAACATCAACAACTCCTGCATAGCACAAAGACAGCTGCCACACACAAACAGAGCACCTGGAATGCCTTTTATCTTTGATTTTAAACTACTGCTCTAAGACCTGTTGGAAAGAAACATGGTCTGCATATCCTGAGTATGCGTCTGTTGGTCTGGGGATGAATGAGAACTGCCATATGGATTCTGAGCTTTGCCCCTTAGGAGGTACATCTAAGGAGGGAGGAGAATAAACCTGGTTCCCCCCAACCCTTGGAGGTTTCAGTAATGTCCTAAAACTTAAACTGCCCTGCTCATCCAGAACAGCCAGAAAGGCTGGCACGGTACCTCTGCTTACTCTAACCAGCGGGGTGGAGTGGGCACCTTTATCTCCTGCCACTTTCCATTGAAAAAATGCCACAACTGCCCATTCCCTTTTTATCTCTGCTCTATAAATGCAACCAGAAATTCTTCAAGATTTTTCTTTTATCTTCTTGTCTGCATACTGTCATGAAATAGTATAGTTATACTTCTTTTTTTGCAATTTTTTTGCATAACATAATGCTGACCATGACTTCAATTTCTAATGTCAAAATTCAAGCAATGAAAAAGAAAAGTTTGCATAGTACTCTTGCCCTATTACGAGCTTAAACTGTAATAGTTTGAGTACCTATGGCTGAGGCCCAGCTCTGCTACATCACACCACACCCTCCCTAATCACAGGGTAGAAGCGCTGTTATGACTTGGATGTGAACACTTCTCTGCCAATAATTCCTGACACATGAGCTGTCCAAGCTTTACCAGGACACTCCTCCAGTCGTTCACTGTTTAGCAATACCTGCATGAGACAGGGCTGGATCTGAAAACATGCAAGTTTCCAAAGGTAGAGTAAACACATGGGGTGGGAGGGCCACCCGCACAAAAAACAACCCCAAGAAAAATTTCAGCGTATCTGTATCACGCAACAAATTCTATTAGTATAACCGTGGCCAGTGCTGATGTGCTCTTCACTCTACATTTACAAAAGATGATTGGTATTGAAAACCTGAGAGTCTTACAACCTGGCAAAGAGCCTGACTTAAACCAGTGACATAAAACTAACACTAATGGCCAAGTCACCCCGGTTTTGGATGGCAAACCTAAAACACTGCCTCTGGTTCTACTGGGAAAATACCCGCTTCCTACAGGATACATTTTTTGACAGCCATCTCTATGAAAGTATGGATAGACTGGGAGTCAGAACTGGTATGTGGGTCCCTGCCTCATCTCCACCACTAACCACACACCCATCAGAGCTGTACCTCTCCCACCCGTGCGCTGTTACTCAGCAGACAAACAACTTGAATACCAGAGAGTCAGACCTCAGTACTGAACACGACACCTGAATTCATTCAAAATATATTATCTTACAGAAAATGGTAATTAAAATCCTGTAATCATAAAATAAACCAGAGAAAGGTTAGGCTAATGACACTGGAAAAAGTATTGGAGACCTATGGAGAGTGGAGGAAAGGCACAAGGAAATTAATAGAAACCAAAAAGTAGGCAAGACAAACTGGAGACCGCTATCTTCAAAATCTTGCATTTCTCAGGGGATTTTTGGCATTCCCAGAATTGAGGTTTGCTTTGGGGTCTTCTGTCATGAGAAAAAACTTCTATCATGGCATATTTGGGGCAAAAAAGTACTGTATCAATATGCTGATGGACAATTTCATGTTACTTTATAAAAGCTAGATCCCAATAAACTTGGTCATATCACGCAGCATTTTAATCCACATACAGTTTGGTCAAAATAAGAGGAGTTAATCTCAGAATGTTACTCAATATGGGTAAAAATGTCAAGTTCTGGTCTGAAATTATTTTGACTCTGATTTTACACAGCTAGGAAAAAAAAAAAAATCCATCAGAAAAGGAGAGCTGAGATCCAAATACTGAAGCTAACTGCCTTAAATTAAAAAAAAGCTCTCCCCCAGGTTGAGTATCTCTGGCTTCTTATAAATGATTTCAAACCATCTCATATTGTGGGAAGCATGTGTGACTTCCAAAATACACACTATAGCTTTTTGGATGAAGTAAAAAGAAATTGGCATGAGAACAGCTCATAAAGACATCAGAAAATACCCAAAGGTTTCTAGCCCTGTGATTCTGTATTACAGCACTCACAGGTAGAACATACTTTATTTAAATCTGCATTTCATTAAAAATCCCCATAGTGAATTGTACAAAACTTTTTTGAAAGCATTATTTGTGCTTACTTTTCCCATCATCTCAAGATACAAATTTTTTAAAAGTCAGAGCAAACCTGTCCAACTGTTTGAATAAAATGTCCATAAAAATCTATTTTAAGAACAAATACGATTTTTTTTTTCGGTAGGTAACTGAAAACAGCTAAATTTTGAATTATGGAACACCTTCTGTGGTGCATTGAAAATGCTCTCCTGATAAATTTAAAGATGAAGAAAAGAATGGAAGAAGAATTATCCACATGTATTGGATTTTACATATGTAATATCCAAAACCTGGAGCAATGAAGAAAAAAATTTTAAAAAAGGCATTAATTTGTGATTTGCCAGTAGTTGGTGCTCCATCTTACTGAACACAGATCTGGCCATGGGAACCCTTGCTTTTCTGACCTTCCAGCTTCTCTTGCTCCTCACTGTGTCCATAAATGAAGCCAGATACTGTTAAAGCTTCAACTCACATAAAAAAAAATTTTGAATTATGGAACACCTTCTGTGGTGCATTGAAAATGCTCTCCTGATAAATTTAAAGATGAAGAAAAGAATGGAAGAAGAATTATCCACATGTATTGGATTTTACATATGTAATATCCAAAACCTGGAGCAATGAAGAAAAAATTTAAAAAGGCATTAATTTGTGATTTGCCAGTAGTTGGTGCTCCATCTTACTGAACACAGATCTGGCCATGGGAACCCTTGCTTTTCTGACCTTCCAGCTTCTCTTGCTCCTCACTGTGTCCATAAATGAAGCCAGATACTGTTAAAGCTTCAACTCACATAAAAAAAACCCCCACACAACAAAGCAGACCACCTATTTAATACTGCCAATTGCTGTGAGCACGCTCCACAGCATTTGCCTTCCCCGATTCCAGTTCAAGATCTGAATGCTGATAGCTGGGACTGCTGCAACTGGAAGCCTAACTGCAATTTTTGGCTGCTCTTCATACATGTGACCCAAATACAACTGCGTTCATTGCTTCAAGAACACAATGACTGAGGGTCATCAGAGAGAGGGTCACGAGAAGGAGATAAACCTTCATGGGAGCCAAGTATGATCTACTGATCCCCCTCCCACAGAAGAATGACCATAGACCTTACTCTCTTCAAAACTAAATCTGAAATTTATTTCTTTAGCTTAGCTTTCCTCATATTTTTCATGAATACGTAAGATACTCTCTCTTCTGCACAAACATGTACATAATAGGTATATATATTAAACCAAAAAACTCCAACAAGCCCTACAGATCAGTCAAGCAATCTTTTTTTGTGGTCCAGGAAGGAAGGGAGAGTCATTTTTATTGTTTAGTTGTTGGGAAGCGTGCAGGCCTGGTGACGAAGGAGATCATTAATCATTCAGTAACTTGTCTGTATGTGCAAGAGAGAGGCACAGTGTAAACTGCACACACAGCTAAGAGATAGCTGATGCAAAAGGCTATGGCTTACAGTGGGTTTATGCTTCTGCAGCTAAGGTGCCATGTTTAAAATGCCCACTCCACTGACAGTGAAAACCAACAGACACCCCCAAGGGCTTGTAGGTGCCTGTTGAGCTGCTGTAACCCTGAGCTTCCCTGCCTTTTAACAGCGGGCCAGTGCTTTAAAACCTGGCTGTGAAAAGCACTGACCATCTCCTCCTGCCCCGAATCGCCCTCCTCTAGGGCTAATGTTTTTACGGAAGAAAGATGCAAATGCAGTATCAGTCCAGAGAGGAAATGCTTCCTTATCATATGTGTGTTGTGCACGCGTTTACATTAGAATTCAGTCTTCATTTGTTCGGTGTCTACCCAAACTCATACCAGGTGATACTATAATGTTTCCCATCCCTGGAAACATTCAAGGCCAGGTTGGATGGGGCTCTGAGCAACCTGATCTAGTTAGCAGTGTCCCTGCTCACTGCAGGGGGATTGGACTAGATGACCTCTAGGGGTCCCTTCCAACCCCAAACATTCTATGATTTTATGATTCTATAAATGCAAGAACGAAGTTGATGTTCTCATGTTGGACTTTGTATTTACACCCTTGACTTCACATGGCTAATTTTATCAATTTTTCAATAAACCCTGCTTTCAGTTATTAAAGAAATACAACAAAATGGCTTAAAAATGCTATTCTTTTCATCAGTTTTCAATCAAACTGCATCTTTCAGTGACTTTCATTGCTTATCTCCCGGTGGTAAAGCATATAGGACTAATAATGCATTCTGACATTAAAACATCACTTTAACGAGAGCAAGCCTGTACAGCTAGAAACCTTTGCCACAAGCTGTGGGAATCAAAAAAAGAAGTTGCGCAACCTGGGATCTCAGTAGCTTTGTATGTTTAAAGAGAAATGAAAAGTATACCCTTCACCATTCTAATCTTCACTTAAACGCAGTGCTCAGGGTTACATTTCTCTAATAATTTACACAGGGTTTAATAATTTGTCACAGGAGTGTATTCTGAGTTGTTTTGAGTAGTGTTTTTCTTTCCTGTTCCAATATTGCCTCTTAAAGCTAAGCAGTCATTACAAACTATGAGAATTGGAGCAGTAAGTTTCTAATCTTTGATCTAATGGGTAAAATCTTGGTTCCTCTGCCTTCAGTGTGACAATCAGGAGTGACACCAACCCTGTGACCTCTTGAAACCCTTGAGCAGTGGTTTTCAGAATGTGGTTCATGGATTATTTCTAAAGGATCTGTGAAAGATAACTAAGAAATGTGAGTTTATGGTCAAACAGCTTAACTTCACCATACAGAGATCTGCAGTGCTGGATACTTTGTAAAGGTAAGCTAACACAAAAAGCTCGAAAATGACTGCCACAAGATAACTACTTTGGGGCTCCATTTTCTCTCACCCTCCTACACTAGAAAGATGTCCAAGATCAGAATCGTTTCGAACAGTGGTGTCTACCACAGCTGGTGGACCTCTTCCTAGTCCACAGTCAAGAGCACAGGCAGGAGCAGAGCTCTCATACCTGTCTTAATTTTCCTCCCTAAACCAGAATCTGAGTGACCAGTATCTTTACCAGAAGTGGGAAGAGGAGGGTGGGTCATGGATAACCTATGATTTTTGGGTCATCACCATAACCTGCCTTTCCTGAAGCAAAGATGGTACGGCCTGCTCAGCAAAAATGCTTTCTACCTTACACCCATTAAAACAAAATCACCTATTTTTCAGTAAAAAGAAGTATTAAATAATCCATAAGGCCTATACAACAGGCATAAAACTTTTTTAACTTTTTGACTTCTATATTTTTCATTTTAAATGTAAGAGAGACAAATGCACTCAGACTTACACATACCTCATGTATTCTACAGCACAACAGCTTTATGTAATTGTTTATATAATTATTCTCATGTATCATCATGCAGCTACATGCTGCTGTGATAGGGAGGAGATGCCTTTCATGATTTTGCCCGGCAGATCCTTCCTACAATTGTTATGGGCCCAACAAACGGCAAAAAGACAGCAAGCATTAAGTATCATCTTCAGGGGAGGGAAGCTAAGCATGCTGCTCTGTCCTCACTACTCATCTTCTGCGTCCTGGCTCCTTATACTAGTCTAGTCTCTATTTCCTCCAATTCACATCATGAGGTTCACATTTCACAGGAGAATAGAAAGGCTTTAAATATCACATTATTCACTGAAAACAATCATTCTTTAAAGAGAAAAGTAGAACTAAATGCCAAAGTTATTTCACAGTTCCAGCAATCGTGTAATAAACATAGAGTTGAGAAGAGCACCTATGAGGACAGGCTGAGGGAGTTGGGCTTGTTCAGCCTGGAGAAGAGAAGGCTGCGGGGAGACCTGATTACGGCCTTTCAGTACCTAAAGGGGGCCTATAGGAAAGATGGGGAAAATCTTTTTAGTAGGGCCAGCAGTGACAGGACAAGGGGTAATGGTTTTAAACTAAACCAGGGGAGGTTTAGACTAGATATAAGGAAGAAATTCTTTACTATGAGGGTGGTGAAACACTGGAACAGGTTGCCCAGAGAGGTAGTGGAGGCTCCATCCCTGGAAACATTCAAGGCCAGGTTGGATGGGGCTCTGAGCAACCTGATCTAGTTAGCAGTGTCCCTGCTCCTGCAGGGGTGTTGGACTAGATGACCTCTAGGGGTCCTTTCCAACCCAAAACATTCTATGATTCTATTCTATGATTCTAAGAGAACGAACTACAAAAATCAAAGTCCTGACAGAAATGGACAGTAAGTCATAGTCCATAAAACAAAACAAACTATTATAGTAACTTACACAACAGAAATACAAACCCCAGCTAGAACAAATGGTGAAACTAATAAACCATTCCTAAGAGTTTTCAGATTATACCGACTTGCAGCGCATTTGAAATTGCTCTCCGAGATAGCCTTCCCTCTTCCTGACTGAAGACAAACAAGGACACACTAAATACTGAATACATTTCATTATGCTAATACAGAGCAGGGTAATAAAGCCTGAATAGCTCGTTACATCTGGGTTCACCTTGCTCAGTATTGTCAATGCCCAGTCACTCACTGAATTCTACAGTCGACGCTTTTATGACCACCCTGTGCTACCTTTGTCCCTCTCAGATTCATAGAGGTTTTTCTGGTTTGTCTTCTCATGCTCCATAGGTTTCACCTATGCTTCCTATAACTGCGCTTAACCCATTCTTCCATTTAAACCCAAGCTTAGTTAAAATAACAAAGCTGCATTATGAAAGCATGTTTTTGTTGAACAGATGTTCTTCCTCCCACACCTATTTCATTACAGGCCTGTCTCTCCTACCCTCCTCATCCTGATAACAGTGTTTTTATAACCAGCTCCCTTTGCTGATTTTAGCCAAGTTTCTAGGACACAATGTTTTAATTTAAACATAGTTCCAGTTCTGCAATTTTATTTTGCATGTATTTGAACTTGCTTCCCTATAACCCCAAAGGATGCTAATCTATTTCAAAACATTTTCCCAACCTTTGTTTGTCCAAGAGCTTTCCCACTACATCTACTTTTCTCTGTGCAGCCAGCCTAAGACCACAGTTGCCCCATGACTCTGCCCCACTTTTTGGCAGACTGCAGCATATTATCGTGCATAAGCTGCATCCTCTAATAAGATTGCATTATTGGACATGTGCTTGCTACGTGGTGAGGAACTCCAGGAAGAATTTGAACTCCATAAAAACCTCTCCATGGAGCAACAGAACTTCACAGCACCAGCATGGAAAAGTAGAGTTGGGGCTGTACCCTACACAACAAAATTGAGAGTCTTTAACAAACGAGGTTCTCGCGACTCCCTTATGCACCTACTTACCCGTTGCATTTTTCAGCATCATGGAGGGTGCAACTCACTTCACTTAAGTGACTTTCAGACGTTATCTATTTCTGAGTGACTCACCCAGACACTCTTTGTAACTGCAAGGACAGCTGACAACAGATACATCAGTCTGTGGAGGTGCGTGCTTCTTTAGACAGAGAGCCTAGATGACTACTTTGCCAACTAAGCATCAGAAGTTAAAGTCCGTGAGACCCCTCTTTAGTTTCCACTTTCTGACAATCACCATTTCTGTGCAAATTGCTTGTCCCTAATTAATCACATTTTTCTGGTAAATGTTTTCCTCCACACTGCGGAAATCGTTCTTACAATTCCGTGCAGCAACTTTTATTTCTACCTTGTTGAACCTTATCATATAAGGGTGCAACTCCAGCTTCAGCAACGGCCCAGAGACAGAGCATGATTAGCAATGGCATGCTTGACAGCTTGTTCATTGAGAACAGGATAATGCAAGTGAAAATAAAAATGAGCAAACTAAAAAGCACTAATAGGAAGTTCAGCTACAGTTTTTTACTGGATCTAATTGAATAGAAACCCCTATATGTTAATCTGAACTTCTGCTTCCTCCATACTTTTTACTCTAATTATGTCCAAGCCATAGCAGCACTATAAAACTAATCACGGAGGGTGAATCAGAGCACAGTCGGCACTCAGAGAAAATCGTTCCATGATCTCCTTGCCCCTAAAGGGATTTTCCGTCTCATAAAACTCAGATCACTAAATATATGAAATAGAAAAGTAAATGCTACTGCCCCTATGTATAACAAAGTTTTAAGTAAATAATCTCGGCAAGCAATCCCAATGCAAAGGGTCTGCAAAAGCCAACCCAGGGAAGTCAAAACCCTGTGTTAGATTAGCGTTGGTGAAGGGAGTGGTTTCCTGTGCTCTAAAGCAACTTTCCATCCCTACCGCAGCAAAGACTGCCTCAAACTGGAGTAATCTTTCAGGGATGAGGCACGTATGTAGTTTTACTAAACAAGCCACATTCTTGTCTGCCTGCTGAGAGCTGCTTTCCTCCTCTTTCGTGTCAGGCTCTGGCTGTGGACAATATTTTACCAGCGGCATAAAGGTGGCTTCAGCAAGCACATCAACAATGTAAAATTCCTGCTTGGGATTCTCAATAAAATGGTTACCTGGAATGCCAGGCATGTATTCTTTCCTCCTTTATTGTCCTCTTTTCTATTTTACTCTGCTGCTCTGAATTTCCCTTCCTCATTTTTGAGTGTTTATGGAATATACATTTTGTCTCTTAGAAACAGTGCTGACAAAGCAGGCAAACCGATGAGGAACTTGGTGTGACAACAAAATTGCACTATGTAGCTTCTCTGCATTTTGCCTTGCACAGTATTTCCAGAAGTGGCATTCTGTTGACCTCCTTCCATCTTCCTGAAGAACCTCAAAGCCTACTTTGACTTGAGAGTCACAGCTCCCCAGTGAATGAAAGTGCCTGGCATAAAGGCACTGCTGCAGAATCTATTTTTTTCTAATCAGATCTTTTTTTGAAAATTACTTCCAAAAAAAAAAAAAAAATCACCAACAGATGGCAAAAGTAGTCCATTTTTTGCCTCTCTCAGAAAAAATTGTCCACGGACAATCAGCCAAATTCTGTACTGATACACATACAACACATACTTGCCTCCTGACTTCAGCTGGGATTATGTGGGTTGTAAATTTGCACATAGCTGGCTTAAGGCATTTTAGTTGCTTGTCTATCTGCTAGGAGAGAACATTACTAGATTCCTAGAAAAGGTTTACAGTAGAAAAGTGATATACTGTGTTCCAAGTGAGCAAGTATTACAGTCATCCAACAAGACACAGTTTAATTTTAATAAGCCTGCCTCTGAACGAGAAGCCAGATACAACAATCAGCGTAACAGGCTTCCACTATGTAAGCAGTAACCCATTCATACATCTTGTTAGAAATATATGCAACGTACCAGAAACTCCTGCTGGTGTCTTTATGAATTTTCCATTAAAATGAGCAATCACTGCTTCACATTTTTCTGTTGACTCCATTCTAAGAAAATAAAGAATAATTTACATAAATTAAACACTCATCCGGATTCCCATGTTTGTGATTTTTTTAAGCATATGTCTTGCTTTTTCTTGCTTCACTTTTGTGGCTTGCTTTCCCATGTGCGAGCAATAGAGAGTTGTGTGTGTTTTCTAAGAACACACAACTTCAGAAAGGTAGACCTAAACTCAGTTAACACTTTATGCACTCTGAGGCCAAAGTCAGTGCCAAACTGCAAATACAATACCCTTATTTACTTAGAAATTAGGCGGAAAATAACTTGGACAGCTGTAGCACAAAGTACCTATGCTGTCTTGAAGGAAGCAGACAGACTGATCCACAATCGTTCATACTGAATCCTTAGTGCCCATGATACATACAACAAACGCTAATGCCACTTTTGATAAAGGATTCTGAAGCGCCTGTACAGTTTAAGGGTAATAAACTCAAATATAAACATGCCTGATTGCATGACCTGAACTGCCTTTGCAGCTTTTAGCTTATATGTATCATCCTAATTAAATGACGTACCTGTCTCTTATTTAATTGTCTCCAAGTTACCTTCAAAACAGAAACCAGTAACAGAGTAGCTGTGACGGCTATTGAGAATTTATCCAGCGTCCTGAACAGGTTTGTGCACTTATGTTGTCAAAACTAGACTTAACAGACTGGGTGGACTACTGGTGAGCTAGTGCTAGCCTGGGAGTGGCTCCGGAGGTTGCAGCTACATCCTTACATAGCAATGCAGATGTGTCAGTCCTAACTGCCAGCTTGGACTGAGTCGCAACGGATAACAGAGACATGCAAGTACAACAAAATCTGTTTTAAAAGAAGAATATGTTTTGCAGCTGTCTGCAAGATGATATTTGGATAATGTTGAACAGAGATTTTGTTTTTATTTGTTCATTACGTTCTGTTAATTCAGGCATCCAAAATTAGGCCAATGGCCTCAGCAGCAAAGAAGCAGTACTAAAAATTACTAAGTCTTGGCACCTTTTCAATTCCAATAGCCTTTCTGCACAGGCCGATGTAATACAGTCATAGACAACAGGCAAAATCATCAAAATGCCAGACTGAACAAGGAGTTTTCTTCATGGTTTCAAAAATACCTTCTAGAAAATTTTCAGAAGTTCTGGACTGCTGGATCTGCATCAAAGAAACCTACATTTTTTTGTCTCACATGAAACAAACAATATAATTTAGTTTCAGACTCAAGTCTGGACTTGATAAAATATATTACCCCTTATTAAACTAATAAAATGCTCCCAAAGGCAAGAAATTAAAATCTTTATTTAATGTCTACATGTTTCTTGGACAATTTTAACTACTACTTATCCCAAAACGTCCCAATACCTACCTTGCAGAAGGGGAGAAATTCTGATTAGATATGATAGCGACAGCATATTCTATAAGTTATGTATAATATACGTAAGTGAATAAAAAATATGTATAAAATAACCTCATGTTTATGTGTATGTATATAAAACATATGTATGTATAATACAGAACCTATTGAGAAAATATTTACTTTAAAACCAATCTCTTTTAATGTCTTCAATACAAGCAAGGTTTTGGATACACGCAAGTCTTTTTGACTTTTACATACAATTCTAAAACTCTTCTGGCTATATTAGAATAAAAGCATTCCTAAAATACCACTGATTCAAGGTAGAGTTGGTAAGCAAGTTTAGGGAGAAAAGACTGAATAAATTCATAATGCCTACTGAATTTCAGCTTGGGTGTTACTGCATTCTGCCCTTCATAGTCCCAAAAAGTGGAATCTGCATTTATGCAAGTATCGGTATTTTTCAAAATTAGTAAATATAACTTTGGGATATGCATTGCTTCGTATGTCATCCAAAAAACCATACACACGTCTGTGATATTTGTACGGAGTTCACACTCAAATACTTATGCATATGCTTATATGAAAGAAATACAAGTGTATGAATGAAATAAAAATGCCCAATTAAATTTGCACCAAAAATATTACAAATTCTTACTGATTTTTTTTAAAGAAATTTTGGTAGAAAACAAACTTGCTGGTTTTGCACTCTTAAATAAAGGAATATCATCCCATTGTTTCTAATTCTGTGCCTTTGTTTGTATCTTCTTGAAACTGGACAGTCTGCCAAGTAAATAAATGGGGGGGGGGGGGAATTTAAAAATACCATAAAAATTGCAGTGCTGTGAACCACCCATATCCAACTCACAGGGAAACCAATCCCTATAAATTTTGGCTTCATCAGGAAATGTAATTTGTTCAGTTCTTTTCTGTGCACTAATTCTAGATTCTGCTATTTGTTCAAATACAGAGCTATTGTAGTATTGGCTGAACATTCAAATTACTGGAATTTGACTGTTGACAGAGATCTTACAACATATTTTAAGAATCCAAATTTTTTTCTCAAAGCATGCTCCTATTTTTGAGGATAGAAATCTCCAATCTAAAGCCTTCAAATTTTGATTGCCATACTAGGTTTAAAGTAGGATTTAATGAGAGAGAGAAAAATATTAGAAAGGCACAGAAAAGGCTTTGATTAAGAGACCCGAGAACAAATAACTGAATTAACTAGAGAAAAAGTAGACCAACAGGGACAGAATATTTGGGAGGTATCTACTAATTTATGGAAAAAATTTGTTCTTGTTGATTTGGGAGAGGTATTTGACCAAGCTGTCAAATATTTTAAGATGAGATTTACTGTAAGTGAATAAAAATATTTTCTTTCCCAGATGACAACATGTTAATGAGCCAGAAAATTCAAAAGGCTGACGTTCCAAGGGCAATGATGAGTTTGTTTTCTCAGAGGAGCTAATGAAGACGAAGAAAGAAAAAAAAAAAAAAAAGGTGGGGGGAGAAGGGATTCTTGAAGGGGTCCTTCGTTATGGTCTCCTGTCTCAAATTCAAGCCTCAAAAGCCAGAAATGTCACAGAAGTTTCTGTGAAGCACGGTGTAACTCTTGCTTACCGGTTCAGGAATAGAAGAGAAAGGAGAAGTACAGAGAAGAGGAGGAAGTGGTGGGGAGTGAAGTCTTATTCTAGCCAGTTGTCCAGTAAGAGCAATAGATTCAGATTTAGCCATCCATGTGAGATGAGACACAGCCATATTTGCTTTACCAAAGGAAGAATTAACAAAACCCTGCTGGGTATCTCCATCTAGATCTCCCTTTTCTTTAGAAGTTTGATCATTTTCAGCATTTTCCTCCTATTTCTGCCTTTTTAATTAAAAAAAAAGGGAAAAAGCTGCCTGCATGGCTAACACCACTGAAATACCTTGCAAAGCCAACACCACGGCTTGTCCCACTCGAGTCCCGCAGTATCCTCGTAGAGATAACCTGCCCAAATGGTTTAAGCATGTTCTCAAGCTCCTGCTCATCCATTGAAAGTGGCAAATTGGAAATGTATAAGTTAGTTGGGTCTTGTTCTTGTTGCTGAAAGAGAATTAAAAACAATTGTTATTGTTGTTGCCACTGGAAGGACATTTTGAATATAAAATATAACAACAATTACATATAACTACTGGTACAGAATTTTACTTCTCAGGCCCCTTTCTAAAGGCTGCTCTTCCCTAGTATTAGGGACCTCCATCTTCTGTCACTGTATCCAGCATTCCTGAGGAAAGCTCCCCTCCTCCTATTACTGCTGACAACGACATTTTTAAGTGCAGATAAAGGTGAATAATTGACCAGTTTATAGTCCATATTACAACTTAATGTTTCAGATTTTTCTGGAAGGAAAAAAAAAAAAAAAAAGGGAAAAAACAAGATAAAGGAAAGAAATTAGCAGACAAGGAAATACAAGACTGGCAGAAAGAGCTAAAAAAAGCCAGATGTAACTGAAAGAGAAAATATTGGAGTAACAATTTGAAAATAATATGGGGGAAAAAAAGGAGACAATGCATTTAAGAGTACATACATTGCCAAAATATTATCACAAGAACAGGCTGATACACACAGAAGTGAGTGGGGCACTGTTGTCTTCTTCCACACGTGAACATTTTGAGGTTTTCATCAAACTTTTACATTATACATTCAGACGATACAAAGGTCTCCAGCCAGGAGATGAGCAATTAGGGAGGAGACAAATGTAGTCACGTCTTTGCCATTCCCCTGATCTTAGGCTAGCTACTTTGTGTGATCTGCCTGTGTACCACAGAATTCCATCTCAACCAAAGATGGTTTTTGTTGAAATTTTTTGTTGAAATTGATCGTTTCCAGTGTTTGGCTACAGCTTTAGTTAGGAAACATCTCTTGCATCCCTCTCATACTGCTAATTGCTGGCCATGCTCCATGATTAAATACATTCTTAATCTACACAGACCTATATGACTTGGCCCTCACAGTTGTGCAAAACCTTGATGTCATCCTTGTGGCTCTCTGTATATATCCAAGTCTCTGCAGGATGCACAGTATTCAGTAGAACTTTTTTGGCATTAGGAATATGATATGATATGATATGATATGATATGATCTGGTGCAAATACAATTTTCTTGGCATAGTCCTCAGCATATTTTCATTCTGTACAAGAGGGCGAGCTGACTTACAGGGAAGTTTGAATCAAACCAGAAAACAAAAAAAACAAAACCACAACAGTTTCCTATTGGAATTAAAGTATTTATTAAAGTGATTATACCTGTATGGGTGGTGATACCTTCTTATGCAGATTAGACATCAATTTGTCCTTAAGCTGCCCTTAGATTACTAACATCACAGTAAGTTTGGCAGCATACTGTGTAATTTATTAATTTGCTATCTTGGATATCACCTCTCAGTTGGGGTTGGTTTTCCCTAGGACAAAAAAAGGAGCGGGGGCTGGTGGGGGAGGTTGTGCCTTTTAGGCACAGAAATTAATTCTCATGTTCCAAAACCTAACGAAACTTAAAAACGAAGAAGCGAATTCTATGCTTAAGGACCTTCACTATTTGTGTTTTCACCCCAAGTCTCACATTCATTTCGAAAGGGCTTTCAAGTTTTCTGTAAAAGTTTTTGAGAAACTTCAGCATCAAAGGACCTGTACAAGGAAAATATGTCCCCATTACATCCTCCTGATCTGCACTGTGGCTATGCCACTGATATGACTGTAATTCCTAGCCACACTGAAGCCCCACATACCTTACAAAATGCAAACTTGTCCAAGTGCCCAAGTGTTATCCTAGTCAGTCCCTTTACAGTCCATTACAAATGGCATTAGGCTACCATGGATGTTTTTCCTTGTGTTACCTAGTGTGAATATCCCACCCCCCCAAATAATACTGAATCTACACAGTAGACATAGAAATTTGTGATTTAAATTACCTTAGAACACCTGACTTCTCCTTTATACTAGAAAAATCATCAGAAAGAGAAGACAAAAAATGGATTCACCGAGAGGCCAGAGCTGACATTAACATTCATTGCTGTGCAGCATTCAACTATGGAGGGAAAACGTATGTGACAGTAGTTATATCTTTGACATACAGTTCAAATTTCCTCAGGTAGGAGTCTGAGATAAAGACAGCTTTCACATTTTTAGAATTAGTTTGTTACTTAGATTGTATTAGCCAATTTTGTTTTGCACCTAGAGATATGTAGGTTTACTTCCTTCTTTAATGAACACTATTAGCAAAAGCTTCATAGGAGGTTTTGGCCACGGGCATTACAAAATCGCATTTGTAGCTATAGCATAATTTCCTGAAACTCCAAATCGTGTTTGAAAGGAAAAATTTTGGATTTTTTACTTTTTGTTATAAGCTGTGAAGTGTATTGCACACAGATATCCTAAAACTTCCCTACATAACTTAAAACAGTAAGCAAGCTGGAAAAGCAGACCCTTTGCATATTTTAATCTAACTTGCTAATGGTTTTATTCTATAATAACAGAAAGCCTGAATTGTATTCTAAAAATGTTCTCATTAAAAAGCCTAACAACATTTGGAAAGATAAAAAAGGCCCTGTTTTGTTCACACTAATAAAAATGTAATTTACATGCAAAAAATAAATGCTTACATTCAGAAACACCTAATAGAGAAAGAAATTCAGTCAACTGTAGAATGTCTGAGCATTCTGTTTTATTGGGGTAACTGGGGAGATCACATTCCCCTTCTCTCGGGCTCCTACTCCAGCCTAGGGGGTTACCACACTTTTGCATTACACAGGCAGTGTGTTCAGAATGAGAGATCATGAGCTTTCCTTGCCACAAGGGACACAAAGACCTACTGTGATTCACTGTAACACACGAAGATCTTCCTCAGTACACGCTGGGAATGTTCTATTCTTGGACCTGTCCACCTAGCAGAGAAAACTTCATGCCATAAAATCATGTAACCATGTTGTTAGAGAAGGGAATGCTCAACTTTGAAAGAGTATTAGTGACTCTACCACTAACCCACACTGCAAATCCCTTAGGAACAGAGTGAAAAAAAAAAAGTGCATCTGAAGAAACTGTTCTAAGGAAATTGCTTTCTCTGAACAGAAAGCATTTTGTGATGGAAAAAATTTGACTTGCAGCCCATGAAACAATCTGCATTTTCTGTTAGTAACTAGATTGGGCTTTGGTCAGGTGCGTGCTGAATGGGTGACTGGAAGGGACTTACTTAACTTCTGCTTCCCTGACCCTTTCTCTATGCGAGTCCATTACACCCTGAATACTCCCAGGGATTTAGTTATTTCTGCTTTTGATCCTTCAACGGGACATCCTGACCACAGTGGAAAAAGGGGAGTTTGAAGATACTTCTACATAAACCCACAGCTAGAACTGGTAAAGATGCCAGACATGGGTGAGGAAGAGCAAAAAAGTGGCCAGTGGATAAGGATGTCACACTGAAATCCTGCAATATGAGTTGAAATTTCATCCATCTCTAACTCTCCCAGAACAAAATCGTTGAAATGCCTGCAAACACATTCCACAGCACACCAAGGTTGTATCCGCACTGCAGGCACAGCCGCCCTGGGGAGCAGCAGCAGTTCAGCTATAAGGACAAATCGTAGAATCACCAAATACCTCAAGTTAGAAGGAACCCATAAGGATCACTGAGCCCCACTAGGTCAGGATAGATTGACAGATTAATTTAATCCACTTCTTTTTTTTGCAGGGGAAGAGGAAAAAAAAAAAAAAAAAAAAAAAAAGACTGCCATTATTTCTCAAAAGAGATAATACTGTTGGGGTAGACCTAAAGCAAGACTGAAGTCTTTCTAGAGTGCATCTGGAATTTTATACAGATTGGCAGTGGAAAAGTTATACCCATTAATGTGTAAAACACCTCCTCTCCGCCTGTTAATTACCTACATCACCACGCAGCTTCTGTCATCTCCACAAGACTACTAAACCTTAAAACAGCTCTCTGGGTGCGTTTTGGGAGATCATAAGCAGCAAGTCATTTCCTTCCCCTTAGAACATGCTGGATTTCCAATCTGACTTCCAAATGGCAACCACAACTAGGACTCCCCATCCATCTTTATAAAAAGCACCATACAAACAGATGTTTGCTTTTATACAAGGTTTTGGCATGGAAAATAGTTAAACAATTAAAAATTCAGGAAGTTAGGAGAGACACAAACTTTTAAACTCGTCCCTCTGTCTCTCTGGCAAACAGCAGTTTAATACGTGAAGTTCTGTGACGTCCTTCCTTACCAAAACCTGCCTCACCATAGTTTAACTCGCATGGTTATTACAGTTCTGTTTCAGAAAAGAAAAATAATTCCTTTGATAATCTAATTTTTATTCTGGAATTCAGCAAAAAAAGTAAAACTGGCAGAGATATCTGCAAACATAACAACTCCACTCAAACCTTGCCTATTCCCTGTAATCATTCTCAGCGCTTTCAAAAGTAGGTTTTTTTTCCTGTGCTTAAAATCCATGAAATCATGTAAGCTGCTTTCACCTTGGAAATCTTAAATCTCTTTAAATTATTTGTACCATTTTATGGGAATGATCAAAAAGAACTACTAACGTCAGTGGAAAGCTTCTTACTTTAGGGTAGCAAGCTAACATTAAAATATGTACCACTGAACCACTGAGGTTTGTTTTTTTTTAATTCTACACAGTTTAGGAAAACTGTTTAAGTTGAGAGACTTCATATCTCATGCAGGGTCTTCTCAGTTAACAGAACCTTCAGCGGGTCCTGAAAGACACTGGAAGTGTTCAATATTTGCAAATGATGGGCAATGTCAGGGAATTTGTGGGCTACTGTAAGCATCCATATTACTGAGGAAACTAGGAAGTTTTATTTTTAGCAATTCACGTCAGCACGTTTCTATCGGCCTTTTCTCACCAAACACCTTTAGCTGCGTCTCTAGAACTTCTCTAGCAGAACACAGTAATACAAAGATGCAGAACGGTGCCCTGGCAGATTAATTTCTGAAGCAAAGCGGTGATCAGGAGTCCTACACAATGCGAAATGCTCTACCATCATCTGAAAGAAATTAACAAAAACCTCCCTGTGCGTGTGGAACC